TCTAGTCGTGTCCTCTTTTGGAAGACCAAACAAAGTAGTTTCACTTTCACAACAGAAGAATGATAAATGCCCCAGGGTGTACGCTGCTGTAAAACGTTTGAGAACCACTGGTCTACGGTGAAAGCCGATCCGGCGATCCACAGCGCGAAGTTGATGTATTTCCTCAGCGACCAGCACGGATCAGCTCTAGGCATGATGAAGCGGATATCCTCCTCTTTTGGAAGGCCAAACAAAGTAGTTTTGCTTTCGCAACAAAACACACAGCATCTTCACGACATGGCGGCAGCAACAAAACTACAGCGAGAATAAAAGTTACGCCTTCTTTCTTTGCGTGAACATTTGGGCGGCGTTATGCAAATCTTCCCACATAGTGACGTAGACATGTGGGCGTGTTAGAACGAGCCGTTTTAGGTAGGCGTGGTTGACTCTTAACTTTTATAAAGAATATCTCTTTGGATTTGAGACTTTAGTCTTTGCAACTTTACAGATCTTCTTTATGCACCAAGAGCTTGTAACACTTCAAAGAGAAAGGAAAAATTGAAATCGCATCATATGACCCCTTTAAACCTACTCATACCACCAAACCTGTCCCTAACCTTACCCGTATCCCACCTCAATAGCAGCAGAAGTCTTTTGCAATACAATATGAACACAATAAGTACATTGTACTTATTTTTTTATGTATAAGTACATAGTTGTTAAGGCCACTTAATATAAAGTGGGACCGAATATTTTAAAGATTTAAAGAACATTTTTAGTGAACAAATGCCATTTGGTAAGAGTTAAAGTACAAATATTAACTTTTCAAATCATATGTAGTAATTTACTGTCTTTTTCTATTCGGAAATATGACCACACATTTCAGCTTTGAGTTTTGGGTTGAAATTCCAATCTACAAGTAATGAAAACTACAGCTTTGTATCAGAAAATGAAGTATGGCTAATATACCCATTAGAGATGGCACTTTTAATACCCCGATCGATCATATTGGGTCAGATATTCATTATATAACTAAAAGCTATGTACGTATGGTATATAGTCCCTGCATGCGGGTGCATTCAATACTCCCGTGCCATTTGTGGGAACATTACAGCACTTAGAGATGATGCATTGTGCATCAGGGCTATAATGAAAAAAACTACAATAGCTATTAGCATGTCAGAGCCACTGACCTTAACATTTCAGTACAAAAAACAACACTTATGTAATGTTGATAATGATACAGATCAAGCACTGAACGGATTCACAAGGAATCTTTCTTACCTGAGTAAAACAGCACGCTTAAGATGAGCAGCCTCAGATTCTGCATACTGGCTCTGAAAACATTTACACATGGAAATGCATTTACATTCATAGAGGATTTAAATGATAAACACCGACATTGTGAATGTGTAAGTTTTATTGAGGATAAAAAGGATAAAACTGATAAAAATGGCAAATGGACACAGATCAATTGAGAGCTTTGATGTGGAGCGGTGAATAGGGTGTAATGGTAAAACAATTTACTTTATGTTAATGTTAGACAGATGTCTATGGCTCTGTTTTTCAGCTTTTATGGCTGATGTGTCAGCTCTGGCTTAGATCATCAGGCCATGGATCTAAAAGGGCTCTGTTGACAAATGAGCCTCTTTAAAGAGCTATTTGGACGTGTCAGTAATTGTGGGTTTATTGGCTTGTCTTGTGCATTGCTTATCTAACCAACATTGATCTGGATTCTCAGAGAGATTTATAATAAATAATAAGCAACAGTCTTGTTTCAGTTATTTTATTATTCAGATTCCCAGTTAAGACATCTCAGAAATAAATTTCATTATAAATTATACTTTTAGATAAAATGCTGTCAGTATAAATGGAATGAGAAGCATATGGCATCAACTGGGTGGATCATTATCTTAATAATCAGAAGGAGATTTAATGACTGAAGACATTAAAAATGTGAGAGAAAATGAAATCAGACTCAGTCTGTTAGCCTGGTTTGTTCTACAAAAAGTCTCTCTCTGATGTTTAAAACTAAATAGACAGTCTAAATACAAATAGTTTCAAATCGGCAGAAAATGCAGAACTTTCTTTTCAGAGCAGATTCCATGTGGGCTTACTCATAACTACTATTATTTACTATTTTTTATGGGGTTTGAAAAAAAAAAACATTTAGCCAATTAAACATTTTGGAGTAAAAGATAAAATAAGTATATTCCCTATAGAAATAAAAAATATATTATTACTTTCAATACATTTACTGGCCTGGAAATTTCCCCCCAAAATTTTGAAAAAATTTTAAAATTCCCTATTTTAAATTCCCTAAAATATTTTCACATTTTTTCTGTTACAACACTTATGTAATGTTGATAATGATACAGAAACCCTTTTGAGGTACAAATTATAATTTGTGCTAAACTTACACTTATCCTAATAGGCTATATAAATTATAATTCATTTTAATTTTATTATAGGTGGTATAATGGTTGGTATGATGTATGGTAATATGTAATGTGGAAATATTAGGACAAACACATTAATTCACAGTCTGAAAGAAGCCAACACTTCACACATAATGACATAGAAAGAATCCTAAGAAAACCTTTGCCAGGCCAGACATATTAGAGAGCGAAGAAAGCATCCAGAACAGCAGACATGCATTTAGGCCATTCAGTAATTTCATAACAGACTTCTGCCCAGACGCTCAACTATTGCATATGAACATTTTATTGCCACTCAATTGCAAAAATTAGAAAAAACAGCAAATGAGCATATCTCTCTCTCTAGACAATAAAACACATGTGCTGGTGTGTAAATGCGTCGGCACTATTTTAGTTTCATATGGACAAAGTGCCATCTGGTCCACTTACATGCTTTCACTCTCTCTCTCTCTCTCTCTCTCTCTCTCTCTCTCTCTTTCTCTCAGTATGACACCTCTTACAGCAAGCTCACAGTTCCTTTCCTATAAGACACAGCATGCATAAAACATGGCAGAAATGCAGACCGGGCGACAGGATGCTCACATACAACATGCTTTTCTCCTGAGCACAATACAAAAGATGAATAGGAGCTCAAATCAACCTGCTGCAGATATATGAACTGCAATATTACATATTGGTAAATTATGCCAGTAGCAAGCAGGGAAATAACAAGAGATGGATAGGAGCTCAGGGAAATCAACCTCAACCTTTGGAAAGGTGCTGTACCAAATTCATATGTGGTTATTGATGTTAGAAGCAGGTCATCTCCTAAGAGACCAGGATGGGGCATCTGGAAATTACTTACAGATCATTCCATTCAGACCTACAGTATTTGACTACAGTATCTCCTGGATCATAATCTATTTTAAAGCCTGGAATTAGATCAGTTCAATGCAATAGTTAAAAGGGTCTGATATGACATGAAAGGCGATGAGATCATGGCTGTGTCTCACAACCTAGTGAGCTGACTACCTAGGCTCCATTTTTAGGCATCATTATGGTTGAGAATATGGCGTAGCCTATTAGTTAAGCATCTGAATGGGGTTTGAGACACAGTCCGCATGTGTTATAAGCGGCGGGGGCGGCGGCAGCTCACATCTCCCCTCTGTTTCTGACGAAAACCTTGTGTTATGATCTTTTCCCCCTCCCAATCATAAAAATATTTGCCAGTCAAACAAATTTTCTGTCGGTCACAAGCTGAGAAAGATCGCCTACACATGTAGGGGTTATGATGGTGCATAGACCACAAAATGATACAGGCCAGTTGAGCCGCAGTACCGGCAAAATTAGCTGTGCACTCCCTGAGAATATAAAATCTAAATTATTAATGTTATTATTAAAATGATAGTTACATCTTATCGCGATAAATATGTATACAATGATAATATTTGCTCTCATCGTTAATTTAATCTCAGTGCGTATTTTAATATCAACATTTCATGTTAAAACAGTATGCTGAACCGGCGCTCTCGCGCGGACGGGGCATTTAATGTAATGCTATGCAGAAACGAGCTCAAATCTATTCTTCGACAAGCCGAAATGTTCTTCTAAATGACCAAATATGCATCTTACATCTCATTTTATTCGCGTTCCAACAGCAAACAGCAACTTTATCCAATCGGAAAAGTACCAGACGAATCCGAAACTGCAGAATTTAACCCTTCAATTCCTGCAAGCCAAAGCCAGCTGCCCATTTATGATATCCCTGCCGCAAAATTGACATTCTCCCTTACCGTGTTCACCGCTCACCTACAATACCCTCCTCAGCTGATAGTCTGTAATAGAAGGAAAATCCGCTATTCGTTCCTTTCAGCTTCCTATCTCGAAGATCACTTAAGGACTAAGATGCACCTTAGGAATCCGTCCAGTATCTTGCAGCGTCTCGAGTGCGGTCGGTAAAGGCCGGCGCTTCAACCCCTCATGGGCGTGTCAGCGGATCTGAACACACACAGCCAACCTTTGCAGAACCGACGTGAAGGTCTTTTAAGGTGTTCTTCAGATCGATTCATCACTGAGACCAACGCCCTTGTGTATATAAACGTGCACTGAACCATTTTGCTGTTTTATCTACATTGTTTTTAAGTACAGTTTTTGAATGCAAAAGGGGCAAAACGCACAATATTTCTTTATTTTGGCTTTGAAAGCGTTTATTGAAGTAATACGTTAAAAAATGACAGGAGCTCATTCTCCCATCACTAACACTCATCATTCATTGACATCCACCTCACACTCTCTCCAGCTCTCACATTCACAGGAATCAGTGGGTGTGTGGTTACAAGTGTAGCAGCATCTCATCTAACCCATTACAGTCTTCATAAAACTGAGATATTATGTGTCACATATTCATCTTAAGCAATCTGTACTGAAACATACTATCACAGACTAGAACAAATGTAATACACAACAAGTCCTTTCCTATGTCATTGTCACTACTTTCTTCGGCCCCTGGCAGCAGCTTTGGGGGCCGCAGGCTGATTGGACATGTTGAGAGAGGAAGTGAGAGAATAGGCCTGCAGGTCAACTCTCTGCTGCAGAATGCCAGTCAATAGGAACTCTGTGCTGACCACGGGCAATGACATACTCACTGCCTTATCACAAAGCACCGTGTCCTGCTCACAAGACACCACCACAGTGTGCCCCTAAATAAACAGAGGGAGAAATCGCAATAAAATATGAGAATATGTAATATGTGCATTGAAATAGGAGAATATATGCATTGGTTCTGGGTACCTTGTGAGCAGAGGGCATTTTGGGGAGGAAGCGTGCTCCACAGCAGGTGATGATTTCTTTCATTTGAGACGGTTCCGGCATCACAGAAGGGGTTACGTGAATCTCATAACCCTATGAAAGCAAAATTAGGGGAGAAAATATATGATGCGAATGGTACACCTTGAGGCTTGGGTCTGATATGCTAATGTGCTTGTGAGGGACTAATACCTTTAAAAGGGGTTGAGTTTGGGCAGTTTGCAGTGACGTCTGTAGGCTGAAACTAAACTTTTTCTCCTGCTCGGTGTCTTTCAATATATATTCATCAGTAGAAAGGAAATGGCCCGCTTTTCCACACTGAGAGAGAAAGAGAGGATGTTGTCATGCTTGAGTTGAGCTCAAAATAAAGTCTGTATTATGTACAAGTTACACAGCTAGAAACCCTTGTCAAACAGCTTCTCAAACATAAACATAGAAACAAATCAGCAATATCATAAGAAACCATTCTTGACCAGGAAATACATGGACAAAACATACATTAACAAATTTCTGGGTTCAGAAAAAAATGTTAATGTGTTGTGAGTGGGTAGGGTTATTGAAGCATGGCCATGGCGATGGTCTATCACACTATCAACCAATTAATGGTAAAGATGGAAGATTCATATTATTAAAATTTGATTTAACTATTTAAAAAAGTAGTTTAATAAGGAATAAACAACATTTCACATATTTGACAAACAAGTCAGATATGAATAATGGATTTTGGGTTTGGCTAGGTTGTACCAGGAATATTCCTTTAATATGCACTACCTCACCTTCTTTAGCCAATCAGGAGTCACGATTGGCACCCCTCTGGCAACAGCACACAAAAACTTAACAGTGCGTCTCGCTTTATCAGTCACTAGGTGAGTCATATCGTTTACTCCTTTCGCCAGACTTCCACCTAACTGGGTGACGACACTTTCTCCGTCCTCATCTGTCAGCCCAGTGAATAACACCTAAAAGAGTAGATGACAAATTGGTGTCAGCCACACAGCGATAAAACCTGCTAGTAAACGTCTGTATTTGAGGCTGCGTGTGACCTTGTGCGCCTGACTAGACACAGACCGCCTTGGAGTCTTGGGTGTGGGTGAAGGAGCCTCTTCTGGGGATGCTCTAGTGTTTGCTGCTCTCTTATGACCTCTGTTGTTGGTTTGGGGCACAGCAGTGCTGTCCTCCACCACCTCAGCATCTTGCTCACGCTCATTGTCCATTCCGACATTTACATTCTCCACACCAGAACGCCTTCCTCCTCTTCCCCTGCCTTTTCCAGAAGTTTTAGCTTGGGAAACTTCTTCCGGTTCTGGTAGTTTCATACTCTTCCTGCCTCTGCCTCTTCCTATCGTCCCTTGGTTCGAAGGTCCGATACTATGAGCAGATCTTTCAGAACTTCTAGAACTGGAGCGGGATCGGGAACGGGTTGTTGAATTGGAGTCCTGCTCTGTGTCTTCAACTGCACTAGCTGCTCCTCTCCTGCTAGACTGTCTAGCACTGATGGGTTGCTCATCAGCTGTCTGTTTCCCTCGGCCTCGCCCCCTGCCTCGCCCTCGTCCCCTCTGGCTGGACACCTCCTGTTGTGAGGATACAGACTGATCCGAGTTCATAGAGGAGCCTGAGCAGCGGCGTGTTCGTCTGGCTGGAGGAACTAGAGGAGCTTCTAGTTCTGTCTTGTCCTCCTCATTCTTTTGTTTCTGATGGTTTCTCTCCTTTGTCTTTTTTTGTTCTGTTGCTCTCATCAGACGTTCCTCATTTTCTCGTCTTTCCTTTTCTAATTGTTCTCTTTCCGCCTCTAATCTTTCCTTCTCCTCTTGAATTCTTTCCTCTTCTTCCTTTCGTCTTTGTTCTTCTAGTTCTCTCCTCTCCTTCTCCAACCTTTTCTTCTCTTCTTCCTCCTTCTGAATTCTTTCTTCTAGTTCTCTCCTCTCCCGTTCAAACCGCTCCTTCTCTTCTTTTTCTAAACAATCTTTTTCCTCTTTTTCCCGCTGAATTCTCTCATTTTCTTTTCTAATTTTTTCCTCTTCTTCCCTTTTCAATTGTTCTTTTTCCTCTAATTCCTTCTGTTCCCTTTCTAGTGTTTGTCTCATTTCGGATTCAGCCCGCTTTCTCGGTTCACGTTCGTCTCGTTTCTTTCTCCCATTCTCCTTTTCTTCCGTCTCTAACCTCTCGGTCTCCTCTCGTTCTTGGCGCTCTTTCTCCGTCCTCTCTTTCTCTTCTTGGGCATTCCTCTCCTCCAATTTTTTCTCTTCTTCATTTTCACTACACTTCAGTTTTATACTCATCCGTCTGGTTCCTCTCCTTGTGGTTTTTTCTTCTTCACTCTCTTCCTCGTCCTCAGACAACGCTTTACCCCTCTTTCTTTTTCCTTCCTGCCCTTTTCTAGTTTTACCTTGGACTTTGCTAGATACAGCGGTCTCACTCTCCACCTCTGTCTTGTCTTTCCTCTGTCTTCTGCTACTTCTGCCACTAGGTTCTTCTTGGGTGTTCTCCTTCATCTCTGTCTTGTCTTTCCTCTGTCTTTTGCTGCTTCTGAGACTCGGTTCTTCTTGGGCGTTCTCCTCAACCATGGGCTGTGTTTCAACAACACTGAGATCAGAGTTCGGTTCAGCAGACTGTGCAGGTTCACCTTCATCTTTTTGTCTTCCTCTGCAGGGTCTTTTGGATCTGATGCCACTCAGATCTTCATCCCTTTCAGTTCTGTCCTCATGAACAGGCTGCATTTCTGTGTTAATAAAAATGGAGCTGACGGCAGCTTCAGCAGGTTGTGGAACGCTGTCCTCTTTTATCTGCCTTCCTCTGCGGGACCTCCTGGATTTCACTCCGCTGTTCAGATCTTCATCCCTTTCAATCACTTCTTCAGGAACTGGTTGGGTTTTTCTGATAGTCTGATGAACAGCAGCCTCAGCAGTTTGTGTTACCTCGTCGTCTTTCTTTGGTCTTCCCCTTCGTGATCTTCTGCTTGCCATCTTGCTGCTGAGGTCTTTTTCCTGTCCTTCTTCTTCCTCATGCATAGGCTGTGTTTCATCTACGCTGATATGGGAGCTCGAGGGTATTGGGAGTTCTGTGGATCTGTCTTCATCTATCTGTCTGGTGCTAACTGCATTAATCAGATCTTCACATGGTGCCTCTTCTTCACACATAGTGACACATGCTTTCAAGTCCAGTTTAGCAAGTTCTGGAGATTTGAATTCATGTGCTTGTTGTCTTTTACTCTGTCTCCCAGAGCTGACCTCACTTTTCAGATCCTCAGTTTGTTCTTCCTCACACATTGGTTGTGTTTTTGTTATAGTGTGTTCGACAACAGCCTCGGCAGGTAGTGGGACTTCCTTCTCTTTTTTTGGTCTACACCTGCGTGATCTTCTGATGGACATCTTGCTGCTGAGCTCTTCCTCTTGTCCCTCATCATCTTCACCAACAGACTGTGTTTCAGGGATGGCACGATTGGAGGTGGAGGCCTTTTCAATATGATGTACAGGCTCACCTTCGGTTTGTCTTCTCCGGACCTCATTGTTCAGATCATCCTCTGGTGCTTCATCTTCCTCAAACATTGGCTGCGTTTCTGCGATGGCGATATGGGAACTGGAAGGTTTTTCTATATGACTACTGCTGACCACTTTGTCCTGATCTGGTGCATCATCATCATCATCATCACACATTGGTTGCGTTTCAGCTATAGTGAGATGGGAGCTGAAGTTGTTTTCAGCAAGATGTGCAGAATCATATTTCTCAGCCTGTTGTCTTGGTTTCTGAAAGCCATCCCCACTCAGATCTGCATCTGTTGCCTCTTCTTCCTCACACATGGGCTGAGTTTCAGCAATTATAAAACAGGAGCTGGTGTTTTTACCTTTGTGTACTGTCCCTCCACCATGGGTTCTCCTACCTCGTTTCATGTTCTCCTCCTCACCCTTTTCCGTTTCTTCAATGGTGTCAGTCATGAGCTGGGTGGGCTCATTCTGATAAACCTCTTTGTCTTCTCCCTCCCAGACAAGTTGTGTTTGGGCTGTGAAAAGAGAAAACGGCTGCGTCTGCTCCTCCCGTTTTGGGGTGCTGGCTATGATCAGAGTGTCTGCTGTGGAAAGGTGAGAGTCATTTTGTGTCTCTTTATCTTCCTCCTCCTCGTCATCATCAGGCTTTGCTACTGGGATGAGCTGAGTTTCAGCAGTTGAGAAGTTGGAGTAGGGTTGGGTATGGTTCAGAGGCTCCTGCTCTTCCTCGCAGTCTGTCTCTGTTCCATATGCCTGTGTAGCCTCAAGATCAAGCTGCTTTGGCTTGAGCCTAGCACTGGTTCCAGCAGTTCCTAAAATTGGCATATAACACAATTCATATAACACAATACCATACAAGGAATTGTATGGGTTCAATATAAATTAAGCTCAACTGATAGCATTAGTGGCATAATATTGATTATCCCAAAAAATTATTTTGACACATTCGACTAAAAAAGCTACAGTGAAACAGCTACTATGGAAGTTAACAAGGCAAATATTTGGAGGATGTAAAAGCAAATATTTGAAGCCTATAATTCTAAGGTAATTTTTTAGTAATTCTTTGGTTAAGATTTGTGTTATGTTGCATTTTATCATACTAAAATCAATATCAACACATTTTTCATATATTTACATCTTGTGGCTGTAGTTTTGCAGTTCACATATTGGACCTATTGACTTCTATTGTAAATGCCTCACTGTAACCAATTATAATTATCATTTTAAAGAAAAGTTGAAAATACTTGTGGCAATTAGTATCATGCACCTCTAACATACTCTGGCAACCAAGTCTGAAACCCCTTTCATAGAAAAGAGGTTTTAAGAATTTACTGTTTACTGAACTGTACTGACTACATGAATGAATATTATAATTTAAAAAAAGAATGAGATTAAGAAGGAAGTGGGTGGGATGCTTACCGTATGCTTGCGTGGGCAGTAAGTCCCACTCTTCTTCTAAGTGGCCAAAAGCTTGGGTTGGTTCCTCAAGATTAGACTTTGCTTGAGAATGATGTTCTTGCTTTTTACGGGTGCTCTCTTCTGATTGCTCTGCTTTGCTACCTAGAGAAACCTTGTGACTCTGTGCGGCCTTCACAGCTTTGCCTGGTAAAAGTTTAAAAGGATCCTCATCATCTGTTTCACTGTTTGACAGAAGACCTCTGGCCTTCACCCTTTCCTTGTCCTCATTCTCTTCATCTACATCTGTGTCACTGTCCATGTGGAGCTCTGTCCCTGGAGCTGATGTAGGCCTGACATCACTTCCCTCTCCAATGGCATGCGAGACCTCTGTTGCAATATAAACCTTCATGGGATTATCATCTTCAACATCAGTGTCACTGTCCATGTGGAATTCTGTATGTGGTGGTGCTGCTGATGGAGGACTTTCTGTAACTGCTTCCTTTTTGGAGACATTTTCAGTTATAGAAGCCTCATTCTCCTCAACATCAGTATCACTGTCCATATGAAGATCTGATTTCACCTTTGGAGATTCTTCAGTGTGAACCTTGGGTTCAGTCTTGCTTTTCTCTTCTTCAACATCAGTATCACTGTCCATATGAAGTCCAACTGAAGAGACAGATTTATCAAGAGTTACTGCTTCTTGAGCCTGTGGTTCAGCCTTACTTGCTTCTAGTTCCTCTTCCTCAACATCAGTATCACTGTCCATATGAAGATCAGCTGAAGATACTGGTTCCACCTTTGCAGCTAATTCAGGCTGAGCCTCTGCTTCAGGCTTGCTTTTCTCCATGTCCTTTTCTTCAAAATCAACGCCACTGTCCAGATTTAGGACTAGAGGGCCAGGCTTAGATGATTTTGAAAAAGGCTCATCAGGGTTTTGCCTCAGTCTGAACCGGTCTATTGAGGCTGAAGATGGAGTGATGGAACTTTCATCCTCACTGATAAGGAAAAAAATATGGTGAAGCTAATTTATTGGGAGATAATATATTGCGATCCATAAGTGTACTGCACAGTTTATAGCACTAAGGTGCGATCACACAAGGGCAAAAAAGGTCTACTGTTAATGGTTTAACTATATGAAGCGCAGTTTACATAGAAGTTACTTTTAAACCACACAGCTTTCTGTTGGTCTACATGGTCAATTTGTGTGACCAAGTTGAACCCAAATTTTTGATTGCGTGGATTTCTAATAAAATGACTGGATTTTGTCGGTGTAGACAGTATATGCAACTGCACTTTCAGCCATGCAACAGCAGGCATGCATTGAACTTTCAAACTGACAGATTCCATTATATATGTTAAAAAAAGTGATTTTTGCTTTATCACATTAAATCTTTCCTTTCATAATGGCCATACATTTTAAATAGGTGACTAGGTGTGATTCATTGAAAACTATTACAAGACTGACTGCCAATAAATTTGAAACACATGAGGGGGGGTATCACATTTTATTTATTTTTGTCTTATTGACCTTTAAAATTTGGACAAAGACAAATGACAAACAAACATTATTCAAATAACTTCTTTTGTCACTCACAGAAAAATAAAGTCATACAAGTTTGAGGGTAAACAATCACATTTGGATGCACTTTATGTATTTATTTAGGCAAAATACAATTTCAATGGAGTTATATCAGTTACCCTATGCAGTAGCACATCAACATTACGTAATCGTATTATGTCTTTTTTTTTTTTTTTTACTAGTTCAGGGAAAATTAGGAAAAATAAAGTCATACAAGTTTGAGGGTAAACAATCACATTTGGATGCACTTTATGTATTTATTTAGGCAAAATACAATTTCAATGGAGTTATATCAGTTACCCTATGCAGTAGCACATCAACATTACGTAATCGTTTTATGTTTTTTTTTTTTTTTTTTACTAGTTCAGGGAAAATTAGAAGGGAACATTAAAAAACATATTTAACTTACCTCTCTGGAATGACATTTTTTGCAGGGGTCAGGAATGATGAATTTGTCGAGCTACACAGATGAGAGGAAGAAGCTGAGACTATAGCAATAAAGAAAAAAGAAAGCAAGCATGAAAATAGTGTGTTATTAAATCTTCCAGTAATATGCTTTGCATCTCAATTTACCTACCAAAATCTTTCCTCTCTTCCGGCGCACTCTCTCCATCTGAGTCCGATTCAGGCACCAGGGTGATCTCAGGCTGTTTGTGAGCTGACTGTGGTGAACTCATTTTGGGTTGTTCATCCTCAGGGCTCCATAAAGGCACAGGAGGCAAAACGCTCCTCTCTTTAACATTCAACCTATTCCGCACACATTTACTCAACTCTGACTCCGAGTCACTACTCGAAAATGCTGGACTTAATGTTTTCTCCTTTTTGGGCACACCTCCTTTCTCTGGAGTTATGCGTGTATCTTTCTTTGAGATCTTCAGGCCAGTGTACTGACATGGCACATCAGCGAGCACCACACTCTCTCCCTCGGTCAAAGCGTATCGGACCTGAGGCGTCAGCTTGAATCTGCCTTTTCTGGTTCCATTCAAACTGCCCATGTCCCAGAGAAGTGCTTCTACATCATCACCGTTACCAAAACGATCGTTGCTAGAGCGGAACACCGAGATGGAGATGACAGCATGCCGACTGGATACAGATCGGGCCGGAAGCAGAACAGAACAGGCAGCAGGATCACGACCAATGACATTCTCTCCGATGTAGAGAGGGAATTCTGATTGAACGTGTGAAGAGAGAAAAGAAAGAGAAGGCAATGTCATAATTTCAATAATGCACAGATAATATTAGTTTCTATATAAAAGTTTCTATATATAAGGTAGTCAATAAGAGCACTCACCTGTCTCTGGTATGTGGTCATTTTTGAACACCTTTAGTGTTGCTACTTGTTCTCTTTCTGGTCCTCCTTTCTCCTCCTCTTCCTGTTCTTCTTCTTCTTCAGAGAAGGGATCGTCGATCTGCTGAGTGGCATCCATCCTCCTCTCTAGCTAAAAGATCATCGAAAATATGGTTGTCATAAATACCACCACAAGGTAAATATGGATGTTTTAAGCTCTATACACACAAGCAACATATTATACAATATTACCAGCATTCTCTGGTGAATGGGGAAGCATGTGTGACAAACAATTTACTTTAACACACTTTTTATGATATAAGGACATTACTATGACTTTCTAATCATTTCGTATACGAGTAAGTGTTCATAAGTGCCACACTGGCAACAATGCCTATTTGGCTAAAATAAATATGTACTAATTTTCAGGAATATTTAATCAGAAATAATGTTTCCTTTCAAAATGCAACGGTAAACATGCACGATGATCATTTTTTACATTTGCACTGACATATCGTGCGTGAACTACTTCATTTTATAAAAACAAATATGCGCTTACCTTATCACGCAGAACGCTTGGAAACCATTTCCTGAGCACTAAGACCCGCCCTTAAAAGGAGCACTACTGATTCGCTAGTCAAGCTGTCTATCAGAAACTGAGTCTGCACTGATTGGCTGATAATGCGTCACTGCGGCTTGATTGGACATCTGAGGAATAGAAGGCGCCTGTGTTTTCTGCGCTTTCTGCAGAGGGGCGTGTTTGAAAGTTTTTTTTTTTTTTAATCCATTTGGAATTTGAGACACAATAATTTAGACATTTCTTACTTTTCCTTGCATTTGAGTTATTAACCTCTATTTTAAAACAATATATTATATATAAATATAATATATAAAACAATTAATATTTTATTTATTTTACATTTTAGATACACACACATACTACTCTCATATGTATATTATACTTTACTATATCATGTGTTTAATGTTTTCATTAAGGCAGAGTTTATATAAGTGCAAACCTAAATGTGACTTTATTGGTACAACTTCAGCTTCTTCAGTGATGTGTATGGTGTAATGCAGCAAAAACACATCAAAAACCAAAGCAAACCTTGATTTGTAACGAAATTGTTTCATTTTTATTTTGGTTTTCTCCAGAGGCTCAGTTTTTTTCCACACAGGGACAATCAAGGAGCATCAAAACATTTAAAATATGTAATAAAGAATATGCAGTACAATTCAAAGTATGGGCTCAGATACGAGACATAACAGTCCATTAATTAAAAATTTGCATCAACAATCCATTCAACATGCTAAAACTCTCATCTTTCCATCTGCATAATCTAAAATACTTTCCTGTATCGTCCATGTCATTAGTCATAGTCATCCTCCAGTAGACGTTAGCTGGCGTCCAAGCGAGGTTAAGATTCAGTAAATAACCCTGTTATTCTGAACCTTATCTTTCTTTCAGTCCGTTTCGTTTCCTTCATCTTTCACACAACATACCTTTCCAAACATTTCTCTAAATACTGCAATCAGACCCGCTGAGGTCACATTGAAGTGCCATTATCTCACAGAGTTGCCTTGTTCTAGTGCAAAAATAACAAATGAAAACATTAAAACACTATAATAATCATTTTGACTTGAGTTCTTTGCAGACAACAAGAAGAAAAATGTTAAAATGAAAGAAAAATTAGATGTTACTGTCCTCCTGACCCCACCATCATCTATCCATTTATAACTGGATGTTTGCCACTTTATTCTTCCCTGTTCTATACAGAGAGGAGCTGACCATCAGAATGGTAAAGAAATACACAAAAAAGTGAGTGATTTATAATCGTAAACACTGTTATCCACCCATTCCGTGTTTAAGAACATTCTTTCTGCCTTCCTCTGGTTATTTTTGGCCCCGTTTGTCTAGTGCTAATTTCTACTTGATTTGATTGAGACACTAAAAGTTGTTCTGTATGCGTTTTGCTACATGTACTCAAACTTGAACACACTACTAACTCCCCAAACACCTTTTGTTTACTTCTTAAGCATCCTCCTCGCCCTCTTCCTCAAACTCGCCCTCTTCCTCGGCGGTGGCGTCTTGGTACTGCTGGTACTCGGACACCAGATCATTCATGTTGCTCTCTGCCTCGGTGAACTCCATCTCGTCCATGCCCTCTCCAGTGTACCAGTGAAGGAAAGCCTTACGCCTAAACATGGCTGTGAACTGCTCGGAGATGCGCTTGAACAGCTCTTGGATGGCCGTGCTGTTGCCGATGAAGGTGACGGCCATTTTGAGACCCCTAGGCGGAATGTCGCAGACGGCTGTTTTGACGTTGTTGGGGATCCATTCCACGAAGTAGCTGCTGTTCTTGTTCTGGACGTTCAGCATCTGCTCGTCGACTTCCTTCATGGACATGCGGCCACGGAACACGGCGGCGACGGTCAGGTAGCGTCCGTGTCTTGGATCGCAGGCCGCCATCATGTTCTTGGAGTCGAACACTTGCTGTGTGAGCTCAGGCACGGTGAGGGCGCGGTACTGCTGGCTGCCTCGGCTGGTCAGAGGGGCGAAGCCGGGCATGAAGAAGTGCAGACGGGGGAAGGGCACCATGTTGACGGCTAATTTGCGCAGGTCAGCATTCAGCTGGCCGGGGAAGCGCAGGCAAGTGGTGACGCCGCTCATGGTGGCGGAGACCAGATGGTTGAGGTCGCCATATGTGGGAGTGGTGAGTTTGAGGGTACGGAAGCAGATATCGTATAAGGCTTCATTGTCTATGCAGTAGGTTTCGTCTGTGTTCTCCACCAGCTGATGGACGGACAGTGTGGCGTTGTAAGGCTCCACTACGGTGTCAGAGACTTTTGGGGAAGGCACCACGCTGAAGGTGTTCATGATGCGGTCTGGGTACTCTTCACGGATTTTGCTGATCAGCAGGGTACCCATGCCAGACCCGGTACCACCGCCCAGGGAGTGAGTCAGCTGGAAGCCCTGCAGGCAGTCACAGCTCTCAGACTCCTTACGGACCACATCCAGGACAGAATCAACAAGCTCCGCCCCCTCTGTGTAGTGGCCCTTGGCCCAGTTGTTACCAGCGCCGCTCTGTCCTGTAATGTGACACACATTATACCGTGAAGGTGAGGCATTTCACATCCTTCGCGTATTTTGAACAAATTTTGCACATTTTTAACATATTCTCTTATGGCAGTCACTCACCAAATACAAAGTTGTCTGGTCTGAAGATCTGTCCGAAGGGTCCTGAACGCACGGAGTCCATGGTGCCAGGCTCCAGATCAACTAGAATAGCTCTAGGCACATATTTACCTCCTCCACGAGAGAGAGACAGAAAAGGGGAAAAGCTGACCAGCTCAGTAAACATAAGAAATTAAATCTATAAAAGAATGTATTTCAATGTACAGTGCACAGCATAAATGAGTACACCCCCTCTGAATAAATATAAAAGATGTATTTTCTTAATGATCACTAATATAATTCATGGAAAGATGGCAAAATTTAAACATATTAAACATATACTTAATAAAAACAACAAAATATATGCCAATATTTTCTGTAAGATTAGCCAATTACAAACTTTCTCAAGAGGCTCTCTGTCCCTTTTTATGATTTTCAGTTTTGTGCTTTAGAAACCAAAGTAACAAATCTTATTGCCCTAAAAGTCAGCATTAAACAGAAATGTTGACCATTTTTCTTCTCTATTATGATGTGTTTCCAAGTTTAACAGCTTGTCACAAAAAAAAAGTAGGGTTTGACTTGATTTTCTTCATCAGGAATTGGTTGGATTGTTGTATGGATCGTTGTTGTTTGCTAAGTGCAGCGTTTGTTTCATGTGAGTGACAGGTTGCTGGAGAGGAGGGATTTTGGTCCCGCCCTCATGCCAGTATACACATCATCAGAGAAGAGATGTTATGGGGGAGGGGGGTAGCAATGTAAATGCACACTGTTAAAGGGGGCATCTTCCCCATCTTGCCCCAAATGTGTGTCTCAGTAAAGTACCTGTAGCTTCGTTGTAGTAGACGCTGATTCTGTCCAACTGCAGGTCACTATCTCCATGGTAGGTTCCTGTTGGGTCGATCCCATGTTCATCACTGATCACTTCCCAGAACTGCAAACACCACACAGCAATTTAAAGCATCTCCCCACTTGCAATTATATGTAACTCGGTATTCATTTCAGCAATTCATTTATGCAAGGCTACATAAAATCGTCCCGTAAATCTGTAATCTGCAATGACTGGAATCCGTTCAATGAGTTTTACCTGAGAAAGAGGCTTTATGGATGTTTAAATCATTAATTCTTTGTTACTGTCCAAGTGACCTTAATCTGAGAGAGAAGCGGAGGGAGAGAGGGGTCGAGATGGACTTAAGGCTGCGAGCGAATGGAGAAAGAAAAGATTGTTCTTGGGATATATTGAAAATAATTGTTTTGAAGGAATGAGGGCCAATAAACTGGAAGGCGCTGACTGACAAAGCCCTACTGTGACCCTGTTCTGACTCTCCTATCAAAACCTGTTACTCCAGGCAGCCTACATTTCTGCTGTGTCATCATATCATCATAATATACCATGCGGACGCATATGAAATCATTCGGCTTCACCTATTTGAAATACGATTATCTCATCTTTCTTGAATACACTAAATTTTGCCAATTGTTTAATTTACAAAATCAAATGTTTCATAAATATGTAATTATCTCATTAATTATTCATATTTCATTTATATCTGTACCATAGCGGGAATGGGCTGCAGCTGTTAGAGCCATTAAGTCCATTTGTGAATGCCTCCTCGTCCCCACCCTGACCTCAGATGAGTTCAATAGACGCTCGCAATCTCATCATTTAAAAGGCATGTCGACGTCTTATAAAGGATGAAGACGATTTAACCTGATTTCTGACGCCACAGAGGACATGCAACATCTCATGGGCAATCTTTTAAAAATGTGCATCTTTAATGAGGCCGTGGGTGTGCATATGTCCTTGTTTTAACCTCTGTGTTTTTGTGATAGGAAATCTAATTTAATGGATTCATTGGATATTTAAAATTCATAATACTCTTGTTAGAACAATTATAGTAAAAAGAGAGCTCATTTTAGGGCAAATTAACCAATGACTCACACTAAAATAACGTGATTTAACTTCATAATTTCACATTATTAGTCTACTTCTACTATGAACAATTTTTCATTGTCATTCTCCAGCGCCCCACCCTTCCCATCATCCACCGTTGGACCACGGAGTCACAGCGGTCAATATCCGCACATCGATAAAAATACGGGTTTAGTTTAAACTCAAATACTCGCTCAAATCATTTCGCGTGAAAATGATGTTAAGGTATGCGTTTGTAATATTAGTGCCACGTGTCATGGCTCGCGCACTGGTCCTGACAGCTGTTTAAAGGGCTCGTGACACTGATAACGGGTAGTCATGGTAATTACTGAGAGGCTGAGCGCTGCTGTTCACATCTGATCCGCCACACCCGGTGCATTGTAAAGAATGAGAGAAAGAAAGAGGACAGACCCCCCTTTTCCCAGCGAATCCCTTCACACACAGCTCTGATTTACAGACAAAGAGATTTATAGTTGGAGTCTGCGGAATTTGAGCA